TGTAGGAAGGTGCTCAGCCGCACATCTCGCCAGAAACACTTCATTCCATGCATCGAGCTCTCCTGACATGACCTTATGGCGTATTTTAAAGTCTGATAGCTGAAAATTTGAAACAAGTGAGCAGCGTTGTTTGCGAGGATTCGACCGTGTCACGTACATCTTGCACTGTGGCGGTCGCCTTTGGAAGAGATAGCTCAGGATATCGTCCGATGATGCGAAACAGCTCTATGAGAGACGCAAGATAGCCGTCGCACGATTGACCATATTTCCACCCATAAAGCTCAGTAGACACGGATCTGATGAGCTTTTTGTTTAAACGTTGTCAGTCTCGATGGAAGATGAAATGTGGATCTGAACGCTCTCACCTCGTTTTCAGGCATCATGGCAGGTTTCCCAAGATTGAGGCAGTAGCATCGGTCCATGGTGTAGCATACAGCATAAACACGCAGCCTGTTGAGCAGCTCGCGTTCACCTCGTTCATCTGCTGGCTTACTGCTGGGTACGCGTCCCAAATCGAGGTCGACCGCCAAACTGATGCTACCATTCAGCCTGTGATCAAGTTCACATAACGCCTACTTACCGAAAGGCAACGCCGCTGTAGAACCATGTACGGTCCTCGTCCCATCGCTTTGCCGGAGGCATGTAGGCGGCCATGAGCAAGAAGGCCTGACACATCTCAACTGTTTTCCATCCGTCGAGAAAGGCATTGGCTGCCGAAGCTTTAGCCATGTGAACGGCCATGTGGTATACCTCTGGTTTGTCATCGTAGAAACGCGACGATACTGCGCATACTGTTCAAGATCCCATTCATCAATGCGCGTTCAACGGCGGTAATGCAGGTTGTAAACATACCGACTGTGAACAAGAATGGACAGCGGCCTAGGACCGCTGAAGGAGTATGAATGTTTTCGTCCAAGATGGGCACGACTGGCTGCAATGCAGATGAAGGTCAGAGTCTGACATGAGATATACTGAGACCATACAACGAACATTGATCCATCTCCAGTATCTGTGAGTTCGTCAACGTTCAGCCGCATTCCAATCAAGAACGATACATAAACGTACATATCGAAAAGCTTTCCCACATCCTCGTTCGTGATCAGCCCCGAGAGAAGGATATCGGGCGCCGCTTGACGCTCCACGATGAGTCTCCGAATATCAAGATTCGAAGACGGACCTAGATACGACGTCAGCCCTTGCTTGAGATAGAAAGATTCGCATTCCAGCACAGTTGGAGTGACGTACCAGGCTCGAAGTAGGCTAAATTTCCGATGCCCTCTTCTTGTACTGAAATCGCTTCAATTTGGCTACCTTCAGAGGATCCATGTTCTCGCGCCGAAGCCGGCGACCCAACCCTTGATTCGAGCGCAGTTTTGGCAACCAGGCCGCTCGGTGCTTCTGCAGCAGGAAGGGGGTGTATATGCAATGCACTGGTCGACTCCTGTAGATCCTCTAGACCAGTAGATTCCTCTGAGTCCGAGTCATAGTCGGAATCCTCCTCGAGCGTTGATAGGTCGAACCTGCGAAATCCTTCGCAAGCGCTTTTACACGATCCCTGGCCCTTCTCGTAATACGCGAGTATATCGCGATAAATTGTGCGCTGTTCTGGAGTAAGAGCCATGCGAGAGGGAGCGATAGATAGAGGTGTAGCCGTTGCAGACGTTGGGTTTAGTCTAGCGAGGAGACTGTCGATCATCGAGTCCTTCTCTCTGATCTTTTTGCGAAGAATATCTCGCATACTACAGACGAGATGAGTATATGTAGCACGACACTGAAGAGTGACAAACCAACCCGGGTGACCTAGGTTTGCGACCAAGAACGACACATTCGTGACCGCCCACAATGCACCTCGCGCATATCGTATCATCATCTTGGAAAGTGCATTTCATCTGGAATTTGTGATGGGTTAGCGAAGCAGGTCCAACTGAGGGTCATTGAAATACATGCACACACCTTGAGTCTTTTGCACCGAGTGCATGCCCCAGATACACGGCCGCTCTGAATAATCTGTTCCTTCTTAGAGCGCTTGGTCGGTGGTGCATCGTCAGCTGGGGATGGGGTGGGGGTTTGGTGTGGTAAACGAGGATGTTTGCCCAAGCTAGCGCCGCGCTCGAACCGAGGCGGCTGGTGAGATGCTCCTTGAAATCCGGGTATACCACTGTTCACGAGTGGTGGATATAACGGCGCGCCGGTGGCTGTGGAAGCAACATCGCTTGGCGTTTGGACATCAGTTCCATCGCCATAAGATTGTGGAAAGTGAAACTGGGCTGGATCCTCGTATTCTGCAGTGGGAAGAGTTCGAGAGAGATGCGATGAGATGTAGTACGGAGAGAAGAACATTGTACAAGTCGGACGTACTGGAGGAGTTGAGAGCCGATCTCCAAGAGTTTATATCCTCTGGTGGATACTCGGGTTGAAAAAACCGATCAGACGTCAGTATGGCGAACCCATCGTGAGATGATGTGGAGCCAGAACAAGAAGACCCTGAGGGACTGGCTCGATACTGTTTGTAGGACATGATTGGTTGCGGTTGTCTCGACTATCTATTTCGCGCTTGAGGTAAGGTTTTGACAGACGTGAAGGGCGGTTGAAGTGGAGCAGTCCTGCCAGAGCCAGTGCAAAGAGAAGACAGATAAAGGGCAGTGGACGATGGGAATTCTCGAGGACATACTAGATCCTATATAGCGTGTCGGATGTGCGCTGCCGGTCGAGTCTCGTCTTCTTCACCACAGACATAACCTTGTTCTATGCGACGATGTGTCCTGCGCAAAGTGTTGACCTGTTTGTGGCAGAGTTTGACTGGAACCAGGGCCAGACTGTAGGACCCGATTCGGTTGATAGATCCAGTCCCATTTCTATCGGAATGAACGGCAGACATGGTCTCCGCGTTCGGTAAATCCATTGGGACATGTTTTGTACTTGAGGACGTTCTGGACATGCACTGATGCGTCTGGGAACATGTGTGGCCAATCCTGGAGACATGAGATCTCACGTTCCTCGGTGAAAATGAACTCGTTTCTTTGAATGAGATCTTCGCGAGATGGCCAGCGTCTGTAGCATCGCTGTCCGACAACGTTGCCTCAGGGCAGCTGTACAACTAAGTACCCATGATCCAGAGCTTCTCTTCTCTTTGAACAGCGTCGCGTACCTGGGATCAAGCATATTACCAACTGGCTGAACAAGCCTGAGCAATCCATTGATGTATCTTACCAAGTGGCCTTCCCATACCAGGCTGTCTCGTGCCGTCAGAAGCCATCCTATACCACAACGGGGTGTTCATTACGCACCGATGCAACTCCAGCTGAGCAGCACCGATAACGGAGGTAACTCGGCATCTTCCGACTGTCGATGAATACTGTCCCTCGTGAGAAATTCGAGTGGATGATTACCCACCTACAATTCCACTAGACAGATTCCAGAAAGCACGTGTTGCAAAGTTTTACAGCCTGTATGTCGTAAGTTCGTGCGTGCAGTGAACCCGCAACGCTGTCTTCAATTGCTAATGGCAGTGTCTACGTGTTCCCGGGATTCAACTCATGAACCGGGTATGAATCACAAGACGGGAATGCATACCGACCGGCGACATTAATCCCGACGTTGATCGTCGAATGGATGCGACAATCCGGGTACGCTCGGAGGGCTACCAGCTGCAAGGTGTACGGGGGTAATTGGCATATTGTACTCGATTAGTGCTCGACAATGAACGGGGCGAAGGAATTATTGAACATGGACTCCGCGACTCTCTTGCCGAGCAAGCCGTGGCAGTATTGAGTACCATGAATGGTGGTGGCTCCAGCTGACCTCTACGTAAGATCATCGGGAACGTCAGAGCTGAGTGAGCGGATTGACAAGCAGCGGACTATCTGATGGCTTCTGAGCGACTTACCCAGTTTCCGTAGAAAAGCGCGCGAAACCTTCACGTCCTCCGCAACTTTACTTTTGCGAGGTGAGCCAACATGTTGACAGCATACATCAGGCTAGACCCACTGTTGAGGGGATCATTTGTTCTCGTTGGACGTCTTTTGCACAAGTCTGCATTCCAGCATTTTGTGCATTACGTCGGACCCACTTTTCGGATACATGTTCTTTCCAAAACGCCACAGAGGCGTCGTACTGTGTACTCCTGATCTATACAGCCGTCAGTATAGGCACTTGCATGACGCTATGCAGCTGTTAGAAGTACCTCACCTCGCGTGTTCCTTGCGCAACCTGCCAGAAAATCGACCGACAATCACACGAAACGGAGAGAAACGACCGCATCTGCAGCAAGTCGCTGGGTCGGCTAACACTTGAGTCTGCGATAGGTACGGTAAGCCACATGGAATCGATCCTCCACGAGAGCTACTTACTACCGCGTGAAGCACCCGCCGGAGTGTTTGGCTACCTTGGACGCTGCTGCGGTCAATGGTACAAACGTTATCAGTGATGGCCCCTCGCCCGCTGATCATGCAGAACGCCTCCTGGCGTTATTTACCAATTCTGTACTGTGAAAATGAACCTCGGGAGAGAATGACCGCTGAAGCCTGCGGATTGCCGCCCTTTGCTTTACCTTCTCCTCCTCAGCACATGGGGTGTTTGGAACTGTAGCAAAGGGTAAGCCAAAATGCAAGTAGCCACTTGACATATTCAGTACACCACCGGAAGTAGTCCCAGCTCAGCAAGTTAGCCCAAGAAATCAGCTTTCCAGAGGAGACAGAACAGCCACAGAACCTTGCGCTTTGCAACCTTTCCAAAGAGACCTTGGAGGCTATACGCAGCAATTGTTGCCTGTAGGCTATGCAAGTAATCCAGGTGTGCGTAACGTCGCTGGACCTAATCAAGTAATGATACGGTAGAGAGCAAACACGCTCAGGGCGTCAACTCACCATAGATGCGGCTTTGTCGGGCGCTCGTTGGGATTCTCGTTCAATGAAAACAATTATACTTATTTGACGGTTTTCCTCCATGCAGGGCTGTTTGCCACCATTCCACAGTTGTATTTGTGGCAAAACGCAAAAGAATGGCCAGCGAGGGGGTCGAACCCGCGACCTTGGCGTAGTAATTGAGTGACGCATTGCCACATACTATTAGCACCACGCTCTAACCAACTGAGCTAGCCGGCCTTGCGGATATTTCAACTGTATTACAATATATACTACGAGGCCACGAACCGTGGCTCTCGAGATATGTAAGTTACTATTACTGTATGGGTGTTAGCTATAGGGTGCTCGCAAAACGTCAGCGATGTTCTAGTCGTAATTGTCGGAGTGTGGTTATTTCAGACACTTGCTCGTGCTGACGGATTCATAACGGAGAGACTAGTACACGTTGTGACACCTGCATAGCAGGGGTAAGTATGCAATGTGCATCATCTCCCATCTGCACAGCTTAACGGTGATGTGTTGCTACGACCTGTGTATCCATGCATACGTCTAGAGCATAGCATTAAAAATAGCATCCTCGCACGGAGATGCAGATCCATATCCATAACCCAAGCGATCAGCACTGGCAGGTTGTGTCCGTACAAGGCACACGAACGGTGCCGACATGTCGGAATTGACATGATGATACATACTCACATTACAGTAAGTACGTGAGCCGTCAAAGTTAGCCTCGCCGGAACTCGAGAACCTGGGCTGCAAGCTGTAAAGATTAGCCCGACAGGCATCGGACTCCGGGCTGGTGGCGCATAATATGCACTGTGGGACAGTACTACTTCGCAAATGTTGTTGCTCTTCAGCTACAAGCACGTACTACTATATTGATCGCGAGTCCGACATCGGAAGTCCGGTCGACAGTCAAAGAAGTGCACTGTACCTGTAAGAGATGAACGACACAATGCACTTGTGAATGTATTCAAGGTTCGTGAGTGAACGCAGGCGGAGGGTACGGAGAATTGGCCCTGAGGTGGTTGCTAGAGCATTCTGCATTAGTATGCTAAAGGACAAAAGGCTTAATTTGGGTTATAGTGAGAGTCAGCGGAATGTTCATTCAAAGAGTTAGGAGTAGCGCGGCGAATGCTTTGAATAGTATTCAGAGTAGCATGCCCTAGAACCCACCATCATTGGAATGCACAGCCGGAGAGGACACTGTCGACAAGTTCTAGAAAAAATGAGTTAGAGCCTCTCGCGTCGGGCACTAACAATGCCAGTGGCTGTATCAGAGCAACAGTGAATGTATTGACGTGAAAGCTGTTCACTGATGTCGTCTCCCAACAATACTCCGCGCATGAAATGCCCTGACCGAAACGCGACAAATGAACACAAAGCTGTGATTTGCAGCTGGCCTGCTTGGTAACGAACTCCCCTTTGTGTCGCCATGAGCACATGCTGACCCCTGATAAAATTCATATGTAGTCAGTACTCAGCCTTTGAACGCAACGTGAGTATCTGTGCCGCATTTATCAAGCGAGATTGGTGCAGTACCCAAATTGCTCCGCAGCCGTTCCCAAGCAGTGCATTGCTTTGTCGACGCTGATGACCGTGGAGAGGCAAGCTCGCATATGCATGTGACTTCTCGAGAGTAACACAGGTGAGCCTGGACGGCAATGATACAGTAGTGATGAAACGCTCACAGTTAGATCAGGGGTGAGGGGGACACAGGAGTTGTACCCCACTACCATACGCGACTTACCAGCACATGGGGTTATGATTCAGATGTTTGACGGACCATAGCGCGTTTCAGATGGCAAAACAAATTGTAAGGGAGCCCTGCCATAAATACCAATGAGCCTGGCGAACACTCATTCCTTCAGCTCTGGGAGGTTCACTGTGTTCCAATAATTCAGCACCGGTTGGTGAGTGTCATGCCTAGCTATGTACCTTTGGGAGCTCCTTCTGAAACTCTGCCAGCTCGAGGTTTCCTTTCCGGTTAGCAATCGCCTTCCTTCCCGTTCTTTGTTCTTCATCATGCGCTTCTTCGCCATCGTCGCTCTCATCTTTGTTGCCACCGCTTGCCCCGGACTTTCTGCGCCTGCCAACGTCTTCAACGTCTCCGGAAGAAACATCTCGAATGATGTGCAAAGCAGCCCATTCGCCAACGTGGCCAGTAGCGGGAACCAAAATCGCAACACAGGTAGAGCCATGCGCGAACGCCCCGCGATGCTTGCTCGTACGACGACCGTCGTAGACAACATGGTATCTGCAACCAAGTGAGCCACCTCTGTTCATCAGTATATTCGCAGGCATCCTCAGCTTTGCTTTTCCAGCACCAGCCCCACCCCTGAGAGTGTGTCAAATCCTTCGCGCACCCGCCAGAGTCCCCTCATGGACTCGAACGGTGCTAAAATTCTCAATGGACCGCACGAGAGAGATGCCAATCATCTTGAGAAGATCACTACGCGCTCCCTGAGCGTTCACGGCACCAGTATTCTTCCTCGTAATCCCGTGCCGGCCACGTGGGGTCATAAAATCGGTTTCCCACTCCTCACGATTATTACGGCAGCCACTAGTTGGGGTATTCATGAGCAATACAAAAACACCGACTCTTGAGATGATTTCCACAACCCAGGTTTTTTGGTGGAGGGCCGTTCACAATGAGTAACTAAAACTTGGTAGAATATCAATACCAGTATCAATGTGTTAATGTTCACGTACCTAAAGTCCAGGTCCAGACCAGCTCGCGGGTGTGAGAGCCCGACGACTTGTCGGCACACTCCAGCCACGGAGATAGAAGAGTAGCAAGAATTATAGATTAGCTTTGTTGCAGCAGTAGTGGAATATAGAGCACACTGTCATGATCAGTGAATGTCCTCGACATTGGGGTAGTGCTTGTGTAAAAAGCCTATAGGATACGTGAATATCGATACGTCAACGCTGAACATTTCAATCTGAAGACGTTCAATGTCATACTGGTATTCGTGAGGTGTCGGTAGATGATGGCGCATCGTCCGTACACTGATGAGGACGCAGATTATGCCTATTGTCAGGATAAAAGTGTGCTTTGCAGTAAGTACTCGACGACGACAGCGTAGTCAGAGACCAGTGGTAGCCACAAAGTTCGGGAGAACTCCGAAAGGAGAACCAGATTAAGTTAGCCTATCACAAAAATAAAACAAAAATAAAATATTCAAGTCTCTTCGTTTCTCTACTGAACTCTGCCTCCGCCAAGGTGTGTCCCAACGACTATCATCTGCGCGACGGGTCACCACTCACGCAATTGCGGTCGTTGTCTCGTTCCATCTCTATCTCGCGGACGCAAATCCTCCTGTAACGGGCCTATTTCTGCGATAATCTGTGCCTGAATGGACTAGCCATTGTAATGTAAGCGATCTGAACTCCGACGTCATAACCGTTACGCCAAAAGGCAGTTTAACTGAGATGTTATTATCTCAGTCTTATCGGAGTATATATGCTGTTCCGAGCACTGTGCTAACCCGCGCCAGGGTTACACTCCTCCCCGTTATAGACACTTTAATCCCACCCTCCGGAGTTTCTCTCGGACAGTATGAGGGCTGCTCTGGGTTGTCTATTGGGGATTTGTGATATATGCCGCCCCAAGGGTGTAACCCCTTGCAAGTTGCCCCCAGCCAGGGTTGAACCCCTGACCTGCAACCCGAAACATCTCAGTTAGTGTAAGCGATCTGAACTCCGACGTCATAACCGTTACGCCAAAAGGCAGTTTAACTGAGATGTTATTATCTCAGTCTTATCGGAGTATATATGCTGTTCCGAGCACTGTGCTAACCCGCGCCAGGGTTACATGTAACTCCATGTTCACTATCGTGTCAAGTGGACCGTTTCACACCGCCACTGGGTTTCTATCGAAACCGTCGCATTCTTCAAGCGAATGGGCGAGTTCTCTGGCTTGGAGTGGGCCACCAAGGCGCTCCTTGCGAGTGATACCCTCGAGGGCCAAAATGTGCGCCGTCCAACAGAGGTCACGGAACCCCAAAGCCACTATGACAGGAGCGTCTATGCAGCCAGTTGTCTTCCTACAGTATGGGCGTTTACCCGTCCCTCACTCACAGCGTTTTTGCCGCCACTAATCTGAAAGACTTTGGGGAAGAAGCACCAGGTCTGCTAGTCTCGTTCCCAGACGTTCGAGAGACACTGGTCGCTGCGCTCCCAGAGTCGCCAGGGCTCCTGCCATTTATAGTAGTTTTGATGGTGCGATTTCAGAATCTAAAACGAGAATTTGATGGCGCTCACAATCCGCGCCATCATTTTCTCAATCCAGCATATTTTCGAAACACCATCAAAAGTACTATATAAGGCAGGAGCCCTGGCGACTGCCTCCGGGAGCGCAGCGACCGTGTCTCCCAGAAGGTCTGGGAACGAGACTACAGGTCTGCAAGAGAAGCTCGAGGGATTCAATATGGACGGACCAGTGCCGTCCGTATGAGACAGGAAGAAGGCAGCAAGTCATTCAAGGTATATGCGGTGTTATGGCTGTCTTACTGAACTTACTCATTGGACACCGATCGACTCTGGGGTGCGTATTCGTTGGGTTCAACGACTTATACAGAGTGCACCGAGAATCCAAGCGCTCACTTGCGTGAATATGAGCGTGGTGAGGAATACGCAGAATAAGCAACTCTTATTGGCCATCCCATGCTTGCAGGTGGCGGCTGTGAGATAGTCTTGAAACAGGTCCAGTGGAGACGGGTGGCTGGAGAACCGAGTGATACTAGGCACGCAACGACTCAATTTGGCGGGTTCGAGTCGTAAGTACCTCACGATTTGGCAATACTTACCAGCATAGGAGTTGGGAGTCGAGTCGTAAAGCGTTTCACCAATCGTACTGATAGAACAGCGTGTTACGCTGACCCCGTGCCGTCTGCACCTAGCAACGTCTTCGCCGCCTCAGGTAGAGACGTCTCGGACGGTGCACCTAGCGACCCCTTTGCCAACGTGGGGAGCACCAGTAATTACAATGCCAACGCAGCCAAGGACAAGCGCGGACACCCCGCGGTGCATCCTCGCACGCCGACTGTCGCAGAAAACGTTGAATCTGCGACAAAGTGAGCCCACCTTGTTCGTTAGTGTAATCACAGGCATCCTCATTTTTTTTTGTTTCGTTTTCAGCGACATCACCACCGAGAGTGTGTCAAATCCTCTGCGCACCCGCGAAAGTCGCCTTTCGAGCCGTGCTGGAACTTTCGACTCAACTGAAAAGGCCTATT